CGATTGAGATTGAACCGAAATCACAGATTAAAATGATAGCGGGCCCTTCAAATGACGGAATAACAATGAGTTAATTTGTCGGGAGTTGTACAATGGGGATGGGAATATGTAATTGGAGGTAAGAGTAATGTGGCCATTGAAGTTGGCCCACCTTTCTTTTGGCAAATGCAAATCCCATCAGCTGAGAAACACCCGTTCCGCTTGTCATGGCCTCTACCCCAAGGCCGCACATCTTTTATATGCAGTTGTTATCCATTGCACATTGCACATTGCAGAAGGCTTCCTCCCTCCCCTTTTAACACATTTATCAAGAGCAAACGTGTGGCAGTGTGACGTGCCTGGTTAAAACCCGGACGAGGTCATGATTGTGCAATTCTTACGTCTTATCCGTGCATTATAATTTTATGCCTTTCCGGAAAGTCAAATAAACGCTAAATACCTGGTTGTTCAGAATAATTCAAGGCCCTGCTACGCAATCATCAACATTTTTACAACATCATCACGCTAAATCGAGGCTAATTGTTTCTCGAAATTCTATTGTAAATTTAATGTGCAATTTTTTTATTGTTATAACGGAAGATTTGTTGGTTAATTTAATAAGATATTTTTTATTAATAATTGAAACTTATTTTTTGGTTATTTATTGATGTTTCAGGGCTATAAAATCGTTTCAACAAGTACTATGGGTGGAGCCAGGATTTCCTCGTGCCTGCGAAGTGCATTTTCGTCTCGGTTTAATGCTCAAAGTCCATGCTGACTTTGAAGCCGCATTAAAACACTTGACATTAGCACTTATCGATGCCAGTACTCCTGCCTCATTCTCAAAACTCGAGAGTAAGTGCTTTTAATTTTATTATTTTTTTTTTTACATTATTTTTGAGTCTCTCACAGGCTCGAGAGGCGGCAAAATCTGGTAAATTCAAAGAATTCGCAAGATTCAAAAAATTGCGAAAATTGAGAAATCAAAAATGTTGTATCTATTAATTAATTTCAGTCCAGACCTTTTTAGCAAATACTTCCGAATCGAAGGAAGATACCGATATTTCTATAGAAACCTTTTTTGCACCTCTCACTTTCTTCTATAAAAAACATTCATGTCGAAAATCGCGATATCCCTTTATTCCCGAGATATCGATTAAAAACGGAAATCGAAAAAATGTCCTCCTCCTAATTTACTTATCGAATTGGCGCAATAGAAGGACAATGGCGATTTTATTAGTCAGTGTATCGATAGGGCGTATGTGATTTTGTGGAATCACTTTCTTTTCTGAACTTGACCTGGTTATATTGCCGCAATCCCAGTGACAGGCCAATGACTCCTCAACAGTCAGATATTTATGTAACGATTCTGACTTGCCTATGAGTCAGCATCACTGGACCAGGAAAAATGAGGGAATTTGAAATGAGTGGAGACGGGTATTTTTTTATTTGGTCTCCGGCCACGAGTTGTACCGGTTTTATTTTTCTCAAGGGTTCGAAGACCTGGGGGCATTTTTCCTTTGTGCTCACTCGAGTGCAGTCGAGGTATTGTGGAGACTGGTTAACTGTTACTGAAGTTTCTTTTTGAGGAAGAGAATTCTCGGCTTGGCTTGCTAAATAAATACTCGTGCTAGTAGATTTTGGCCTTTTCATCATCTTCTCAGGCCCCATTATGTGGTTAAAATAGTTTTAATTATTGGAAATTGTTTTTTGAATTATTCGTGATTCATATTCATTGCGGGGATGATCCTTTCCAGGGGAATTGAGCCTTTGAGGTATTTAAATTCAGTTGTTGAAGGGAATTTGCATTGAATCATTCTATGTGAATCATCCGGTGATTCTCCGATTACAAACGGTACGATCCGTCATTATTGATCATTAAAAATCATGACAGACTTCCGGAATTGGTCTTTCAGCTCGGGGAAACAAGAGAGTAGTCATCAATGAGGATTACGCGGATTTTTTTTTATTCAATTCATTCAGTGATTCAGAGTTTTATCATTTTTACTGATTCCAATTCTGTCTTTATTTTTATCACGCCGTTGAATATTCATTAAAATATTTAAAAACAATAAAATTATATGTATTTCACATTATTGCAAGAAAATTTTTCCAGGTACATGATTTCATTATTATTATTTCTTTTGATAATTTTCTTCTCCTCTTTTTGATGATTTTTATGGAAATCGACTGACGGTTTCCTGGGAAATAATTTTTTACAACTTCCAGAGCAATGACTTCCGGATGATTTAGTTGGGGATAATTTGTCTGTAAATACTTCCTGTTGACCCCAGATTATTCCTCCCACAAGTTGCGATTACCGAATCTAATTTTTGTCTTTTTTTGAATTTCAGTTAAATTTCACATCGCCCACTTGTACGAGGTCCAGGGTAAATATCGCCTGGCTAAAGAGAACTACGAGACACTGCTGAAGGAGAAGGCCCTGCCATCCCACCTGAAGGCCGATATCTGTCGTCAGTTAGGTGAGCTCTCAGCTAAAATTACAAATTATTCCCTCAATTTACCGCAAAAGCTATCACAATGGATGTAAAAATAGAGTAAAAAGGTAGTGCCTAGTGAAAATGAAAGCCGGAGGGGGTCTAAGTTTAAGGTTGAACTGCTACGCGGCGTGGCAGACACGTGTATTGATTTATTCTAGACCCGGGGATGGTGAAAGAGGGGGATGATGGGGTAAAGTTGGGGATGGAACCCATTCCTGGGTGAATCCAGTGGGGGCGGGCTGGTGATTGTGGGAAGCAGACTTTCAGACCAAACACGAGTTCAACTAGTGTATGTCCCTGACAGATGGCACGTCCACCTAAATCGACTTAAATACTGACTTTTTTTTTCGATTCATTCGTTTCGAATTTTATTTCATTTGATTGAAAAATCACGGAAATGTTTTTTTTATGGAAAAATTCAGTGGCGCGAGATTACCAAGTTGTAACTCTCACAGAAATCGTTTCATACCCACGCGGTGGCATGCGGTACGGTCTCTCGTAGTCCAAAAAAATATTCAATTCAATTGAGAGATGGAAATAATTTTTTTTTCAAAAGTCGATGAAAAGATATTTTTTCGAAAATCGAAAATGAGTTTTTCTGTGAAAATTCTCGGGGAAATTCGTGAGTTCTGAGTAGCGGACCTCTCCATTAGTCCAAGAGAGTATGGAATTCAATTGAGAGATGAAAATAAATTTTTTTCAAAAATCCATAAAAATCCATTTTTTTCGAAAGTCGATGTAAATATTTTTTTTTTTTGAAAATTGATGAAAATACATTTTTTCGTGAAAATTCTCAGGGAAACTCGTGAGTTCCGAGTAGCGGACCTTTCTATCAGTCCAAAACATATTGAATTCAATAGAGAGATGAAAATTATTTTTTTTTTCAAAAATCCATGAAAATCCATTTTTTCGAAAATCGAAAATGCGTTTTTCTGTGAAAATTCTCGGGAAAACTTGTGAGTTCTGAGTAGCGGGCATTACCATTAGTCCAAGAGAATATTGAATTCAATTGAGAGATGAAAATAAATTTTTTTCAAAAATCCATAAAAATCCATTTTTTTCGAAAATCGATGAAAATTTTTTTTTTTTGAAAATCGATGAAAATACATTTTTTCGTGGAAATTCTCGGGGAAACTCGTGAGTTCCGAGTAGCGGACCTTTCTATCAGTCGAAAACATATTGAATTCAATAAAGACATAAAAATTAATTTTTTTTTTTAATCCATGAAAATCCGTTTTTTCAAATATCGATGAAAATAATTTTTTTGCTATTTTCGTTTTATGACCTTAAAAAAGCAAAAATATTATTGAATCAACCCCTGAAATATGCGTCAATGAACTGAAGACATTGTCGTTGACACACGGTCCCCACTCTCTTCATCGGCCTGACCCATTTACCATTCCGGAAATACTCTCGTACAAACATAACATCTTGTAGCTATCGTTCAACCTGAGATTAATGAAATTCAACAGAAGATTTATAATGAATGGAGAATAACCGTGTGAATTCCAGTGGCATTGCTGGAGTTCGTGGGAGGTTCTCTTCACTCTTGTCATTGCAATAAAGAGACCCCTAGGTCTTATTCACTTGAGACAATGGAGAATGAAAAAGGAAGACAATGATAGAGCCTTCAGCTTCCAATTGATAAATCGCACGACAAATGTTTTAATCAAAATTGTCAAAACATCCCGAAAACAATTGCCCGAAATAACCGGTGGATTGTCACCGAAGACTATGGAAATATATGAATAGAAAATTACCGAGAACATTGAGAATACCTTTGACATGTTTCTGTATTGTTCAAGGTATTCCCTAAGTCTCGAGATCTGCCCTTGATGTTAATATTTGCTTTATTCACTCACGAATTCAATTAGCAATTGCAATTTTTTTTTCTCCATCTTTGGAGTTGATTTATCTGTGACAGGTCACAGATAAATAAATAAATAAATAAATAGATAATAAATTTGTCTGTGACAGAAGTCTTGGGAATCACCTCAACCATTCCCTATCGATCTATCGATTTTTTTTTTTTACAAATTATCAATTGCGGAATATTTTTTACTTGATTTTACGATTCACCCCTCGGAGACGCCTCTCAAGTTATTTCAGCAGAAAATCTTTATTGCTGTTTCCTCAGCTCGTTACCTCACCTTGAAAATTGCTTTATGATACCCAACACCCAATCGATTTTGCCATCACCTTTGTCCCTTGAATATTCCTCCCATTTTTTCAATATTTTTTTTTTTTTACTTCTCTACTTTCACCTCAGTCCTCTTTTATGATGACAAGATGAAGGCATCAGGGGAGACTGGAATTCTCCTTGGGAAGAGCGCGTAGTAAAATTCTGGTTTATGGGGAAAATTCTCCAAAGTATTGCAATTTTCACTAAAAATAATTGCAGAATTTTTTGGTTGGAGATTAACTCCTTTTTTCTCGTTGACGTGAGGGGAAATATTTTGCTCCATCCCCCTCTTCTAGGATAATAATAATAATTATTATTATTATTCCATTTTTTTCTTTAAGTCTTTTTTATCAGTAATGTTCATTATTATTTAAAGTATAAAGTGCATTTTTTAATAAAGCACAGATTAAATCGATGGACACTTTTTTTTTCTGTGTACGTGAGGAATTACTCGGGCTTCATGGCGCTCACCAGGAAGACTAATCCTAGTGGCCCTTCCCTAGGAGAACTAGGGAAATAAAGAGGGGAAATAGTTTTGGGTCTTGTGCCAGGTGTTCGTTTTGGAAGGTTCAATGGTTGGGCAGGTTTATAATGGGAAAATCTTGAATCAAGTGTAAGAAAAAAAATGCTGGGGAATCGTGACAAGTTGGGGTGCACTCACCCAGTCAATTGTAAAATGAAATTTCGAATGGGAATTTTATTTGACGACGTACTCTACCGACAATTCCATTCCTCTCCTTAAAAAAAAAACAAATGGATAATAAATTTCCTGAAAATATTTCCAATTGATAATAACGCCTCGACTAATTATTATTATCATAATCCCCAATAATTTTTTTATTAAAAATATCTAAAGTTTTGGATCACAAGATATTTTTGAAAATTCATAAAACAATTTGATCTTAAATTAAAAATTATTAAAACCCTGAGTATTTAAAAAAAAATAGAATGAATATAGGCATGAATAAAAAATTTTTATTTGGTGCAACCTAGTGGTACATTCGATGGAGTTAAGAAAAAAAATGGTCGTAATATTAGAGTCCAATAGAATACAATAAATTCTACGCCTATGTTTACACTGCAGTGAAGAGCCTATGGGGAAAAAGGGAATAGAACTGAGACACCGGAACCCATGAGAGGGGAAAGGGGGAGAATGGTTGGAGGGGGGATTTTTGGTAATTGGAGAAGTGAGGGGTAAAAGGGGGGGAGGGATTCTAGCCTACCCTAGGCCATACCTGCACAATTTCTATTCAGTTAGACGATCGTCTAGTGTCGTGGCAACTTCCCCCTCAGAACGAATCCTCAGGGCCCACATTTCGTTCCCACAGTCCTAAATTCCACCAAAATTTATATTTCACTATTCAGTGAATTTTTTACAGTGAATATTTTCATTTGTCTCAGTGTTTTCAAAATTTTTAAATCTACTGGATAAATTAATCTCTTGATTTCACTTTTTGTAAATCATCTTTTGTGTACGTGAGGTCATTAATTCAGCAGCTGCATAAGGGACTTAGAGGCTCAAGGGTCAGTTGAAATTTGAGGAAATATTTTTAAAAAGAGATTTTTATTATTTTTTAATACGATTTGTTTATAGTAAATTTGAATTTTCGTGTAACGAATGATCTCATTAATTTTTATTAATTAATCATAATTATCATAAATTTTTATTGATATATGAAAATTAATTTACTACTAGAGGTAGACTTCTGGTAAAATAATTTTGCACGGCTGACGGTTAATTAATGTGATTTTGGCATTTGGGAATAACGTATAATGCGATAAATGAAGGAAACGTGCCCCCACGAAGATAATTCCCATGCAATTGATATCAAAGAGATGAAAATGTGAAACGACGATGGAAACACTGGGATGTGGGGATAGCTGTGGGGTTAATTTCAGCATCTACTCTGACAGCAATTAAAGCCCCGAAATAAAGCGGTCCCGAGGGGTTGACAAATGCAATCTACCCATCAAACGTCCGAATGAAAATCGTTTTGATTTGTCAATTTGGTTTGGTTTTGAATGATTGTATTTTCCGTTTAAATTAATTTAGGTATTGTTTTCCAGGATGGATGTACCATGTGGTTGATTGTGCAGTGCTTGGTGTAACTAGACAGCAGAAACAGACATTTGCCATCCACTGTTTGCAGAGGTCCATTGAAGCTGAACCCAAGAGCGGACAGAGTTTGTATTTGTTGGGCAGATGTTTGGCTGCTTCTGGGAAAGTTCATGATGCTTTTATCGCCTACAGGTAAGAATTCATAACTGACACCAGGAAATAATACCAGTAATTAATTATTGGAGTGATTAATTGATTTATTAAGATGAGGGGATAAATATTATTTAACAAATATTTGTGGGATAATTGTAGAAACTCGGTTGAGAAGTCCGAAGGGAATGCAGATACCTGGTGCAGCATAGGTGTTCTCTATCAGCAGCAGAATCAGCCTATGGATGCACTACAAGCTTACATATGCGCTGTGCAATTGGATAAGTCTCATTCAGCAGCTTGGACGAATCTTGGAATTTTGTACGAGAGTGTCAGTCAGCCAAAAGACGCCCTCGCCTGCTACGTCAACGCATCGAGGTAAAAGAGTCGTTTAATTGCGTGATGATGACTTGAATGAGAGAGTGAAGAAAGGAATGCATCATTATCATCCCCTTTCACAGCCGCAAAAAAATCCAGAATAGATTTTTCAAAACCACCAGTGTAAAATTATCCCTAAATCAGTGTTCCCCATGTTTAATGCACTTTATGATCCATTATCTATATAGTAATTATATTGGAGCGATCATTCATGCGCGCTACATGGCAAGTGTACGGCTAGTCTGCCATCGACGACAAAATATCCATAAATTGTACAGTTGATTAAAATAATCGTGTCTGTATCTGTAACAGGGGAAACAATAATACACCGTGTTCGACTAGTCCGCTGGCAGGACTTGGTGGTGCTAAGTCGAGTGGCAACGCACCGATGAACCCATCCCTCCAGCAACGAATAAATTTTCTCCAGAGCCATTTGAGTCAAGCACCAATGCCATCAATAGCAGCTAAGAGACGGCAACTGCCGTCAATCGAAGAAGCGTGGAATCTGCCAATAAGTGCAGAAATGTCGTCTCGTCAGCAGCAACAACCAGCCCCCAATACACCAGGGTATAAATACACAACACCACCTGCTGGTCCACCACCCCCTTATCCCCAGAATCAACAGCAAAATGTGAATAAACGTTTCAAGCCTGAGGATCAGCTGTCACCAGGTGGTGCACAACCACAAGCACAACAGCGTCCACCACCTTTTTATCTTAATCCACAGCAGTTACAGATGCTACAGTTTCTCCAGCAAAATCATAGCAATTTGTCGCCACAGCAACAGGCACATTTACAACAGCTACAGCTGCAGTACAGATCGATGCAGCAGCACCAGCAGCAATTGAGATTGCAGCAGCAGGCTGCATTGCAGAGAGGATTGAGACCAGGTCAGCCAGGTTTCCCCACGGGTTACGGTCCCCCTCAGCCCCCACAACCAGGTGTAATAAAGAATTACGGTATCCCCCAGCAGCCCCAGGGTGGTACAGTGGCTCTGCAGACGGGTTTCACCGATTCAAATACGTCTTATAATACTCCAGCCACTGGAAATGCCCAGTCAACCCCAGGTATGCCCTACAAATCTGCCTCAGAGCAGACCTTTCCCCGTCCACAATTCTCCCCCTACCAATCCAACCAGTACGCAGCCCAGGGCTATACACAAATTACATCAACAACGAGTAGTTATCCAGAGGGAGCAGCAGGTAACAAGGATCTGGGTGTAACTGACCAGGAGCTGACAGCCCTACTATCCCAGAAAGATATAGCTCGATCTCTGGCTGAGGATCTCCTCAAGCACTTTGGCTCTGAGGATCTTGATCCCAAGGACACATCAAAACCACCAATTCTGAATAATGGTACTCTATCCTCAGGTCCATTCTCTCCCTCGAATCTCGACGAGGAAAAAATAAAGGATGTCGTGAAGGAAGTGAAAGTGGAGAAACTCGAGCCCTCGGAGAAGCCTGTGATTGCTACTAAATCCCACCCAACAGAGACGATAAAGTGCGAGGCAACATCCAGCACAAATAAAATAGATTCTCGTCCTGAGCCTGTGCTGAAGCTCGAGAGCCTCTGCGAGAGCCCGGTGGAGCCAGATTTCTCCATCGACATGGACTCAAAAACGCTAATCGAGGCCTGCAGGGGTCAGGGCCTCAAGGGAGTACCCAATTGCTCGATTCTATCGGATAGATCACCGCCACCAGCACCTCCAGACGCTCCCTCTCAACGTCTTACCAAGGAGCAGCTTTCACCACCAGCTCCAAGTGTATATCTTGAGAATAAGAAAGATGCATTTAGCCCACAGCTTCAGGAGTTCTGCCTGAAGCATCCCATTGCTGTTATCAGGGGTCTGGCAGCTGCTTTGAAGCTCGATCTAGGTTTATTCTCCACGAAAACCCTCGTCGAGGCTAATCCTGATCATGGAATCGAGGTGAGGACGCAGATGCAGCAGACGAGTGACGAAAATTGGGATCCAACGCAGGCTAAAAAGGTGTGGGGATGTATCAGCCACAGGAGTCACACGACAATAGCTAAATATGCTCAGTATCAGGCGTCGAGTTTTCAGGATAGTCTCAGGGAGGAGAGAGACAAGGCACAGGGAATTCACTCAGCCAATTTATCGGATTCTGATTCAAAGGACTCAACTGGTGTTGTTAAACGAAAGAAAAATGCTTATGGCCTGCCTGGTAGGCCTGGCTCTAAGATGCTAAGGTTTGGAACTAATGTTGATTTGTCTGATGAACGTAAATGGAAGTCACAGCTCCAGGAACTCATGAAATTGCCCGCGTTCGCCAGGGTCGTGTCCGCTGGAAATATGTTGAGTCATGTGGGACATGTAATCCTGGGAATGAACACGGTGCAGTTATACATGAAGGTGCCAGGTAGCAGGACTCCCGGACACCAGGAGAATAATAATTTTTGTTCAATTAATATTAATATTGGACCCGGCGATTGCGAGTGGTTCGCAGTGCCTGATGCATATTGGGGGGTTATTCAGGCACTCTGTGAGAGGAATAATATCAATTATCTGCATGGTAGCTGGTGGCCCTCGCTGGAGGATCTTTATGAGGAGAACATTCCAGTTTATAGGTGAGAATTGGTTGTTAAATTTGTTTTTTTCTTTTAATTAAATATCTCGGAATGGAGGAGAGACTGCAAAATTTCAATAATAAGGTTTTTTGTAGCTCTGATTCCCCTCCACAAAAGATGTCATGAGAAAAAAATCGATATGGCTCTTACATTCGAAGATATTCCTCGAAAAAGATCAAGTCGTTTTGTCTGGTTTTTACGGATTTATTGAGTTAATCGTTGATGTTTTGCATAATGCATTTTTATGTTACACAGGTTTGTTCAGAGACCTGGGGATCTCGTGTGGGTGAATGCTGGGTGTGTCCACTGGGTGCAGGCTGTGGGATGGTGTAATAATATCGCGTGGAATGTGGGGCCTTTGACAGCGAGACAGTATCAACTGGCGATCGAGAGGTATGAGTGGAATAAACTCCAGAGCTTCAAGAGTATCGTGCCTATGGTGCATCTCTCCTGGAATCTGGCGAGAAATATCAAAGTATCGGATCCTCGACTGTTTGAATTGATCAAGAATTGTCTGCTGAGGACCATGAGGCAGTGCTGCTTAATCCTAGAATTTGTGAAGAGCAAAGGGGTCGAGGTGAGATTCCATGGACGCGGGAAGAACGAGGCGTCGCATTACTGCGGACAGTGCGAAATCGAGGTCTTCAATATTCTTTTCATACGAGAGCAGGAGAAGCGTCATGTTGTCCACTGTATGGATTGTGCCCGCAAGCAGTCACCATCGCTTGAGGGTTTTGTATGCCTCGAGGAATATAGAATGCGTGATTTAATGGAGGTGTACGACGGTTTTTCCCTGCACACGTCAATCACACCAGCTCTGGCAGTGGCCCAGTCGAGTCAGGCCTCCTGAGGCTACATGCAGCACAGATACCTAGACTACCTGGGGACACTCCAGTGAAGCCAACGTTCCAATGGGAATTCATCCGGTTATCTGTGTTGTGTGAGTGCTAGAGAGTGTACAGAAACTTGATAACTAGTTTTCATGGACAAAAAAATGTTAATGAGAATTTTTCACATCCCAGGGAATTCCCAGGACCATTTTGAGCTCGACTGTGTCCCTTTTAGTTAGATACATTTGTACAGAAGTCTATTAGTTTAATTTTGAGGACCCCAGTCGAGATTGATGGTCCATTAATAATTTCACTGTCACTGGGAACTTTTTGGGGATTTATTCATCGAATGAACGGTGGATCAGTTTTTTTTTTGTCGTTTAGTTTCACTGCCAATTGTGAATAATTCATGTTTATGATAATGAACGTGAGATGTTTGTGCAAATTTATTGCTCAAAGTGTGGGGAAAATTAGAAAAGTGTCAGTAGATGAAAACGATTTTTATCTGAGAGTTTTGTAGGAAAATTAAGGAAGTTCGGGATTTGGCATTTCCGTGCTGATTTAGCTGCCTGCAGTCGACCAGAAATCATGTTTTTTTTTTTTTTTTCAATCGATATTTCATCGGAGATATTGTTTCACGGATAAAAAATATTCTGGCTCTGGGAATCGAAGAGACATATTTTTACAGTTTTTGATACACAAATGCACTTGTTTTTCGTACATGTGAGAGTAGATCGGAGAAGTTGGGAAATTATTCTTCATCATCTATGAGGAAAAAATTCGTGAAAATTGAGGAGTGACAGTCGTTTTAAAAATTATCATATTACTTGGCATAATAAACACCAATTAAACTGCTATTGTGATGAGAATCGAGAAATGATTGAGATCATTTCCTCAAGCTAGACAAATTAGTCAGTAATTAAAAGTTCGTGATGGCGCGCTAATCAGATCATAAAAGATTTTTTATATTTGAGAGGGGATTAATGGGCGAGCAGCAAGTAATGATCTCAAACGCACGTACATTGGCAGGTCAATGCATAATTAGTTTTTTTTTTTTAATCATAAGGATATCCCACACCTGTCAATGTATTCGGAACTGATTTGACAACTTGAGTAATTCGTTGAATAGATAATGTAATAAATATTGAAATTATATTTAAATGTAAAGGTTAGACTTGTAGGTAATGAAATTGATCATAACAATTTAATGAATATTTTATTTCTGCTTTCTTTTTTTACTCGATTCTTGGGAGGTCCAATGTTTTTTGGTTTTTCGAGGATTTTTTTTTTGAGTTTTCAAAATGGAGAGGCGAGATTTTCCAAGGAAATAATATTTTAGAAATGATTTTCACTCATTCCTCATCAATTGTGGACTTTTTTTTTAATTTCTCAAGAATTGTGGGAATTATTTCAGGAACGAATTAATTTAGGAATTAATGAAATGCAGATTTTCACTGATTAGATTCGCCTTCTCCATTTGAAAAACTCTCTTCGTGATTGTAATTACCATATAGTTCGTGCTAGCCAAATGAATCTGGAATAAAATAAAAGGTGTACATAAACAGTAGAATTGAAATGCAAAAATGCATTTGAAAAATTCAAGTCTCGTGGAATGGCATATTTTGATAAAATGAAAAAGAAAAAAAAAAGTAACCCAAGACCAATGAGGTTCATAAACTAGAAACCAAAGGTTGGGAATAAAATAAAGAAACATATTTTCGCTAATCACTGTACGAACAATTGAATCTCATCATTCTTTTTCTACGGTAATAAAAATGAAAATAAAAAAACGTAGGAAGAATAAAACCGAATAATCTATAAATAAAAGAAAATTATTTTTCACCGAACGAGGAAATATACAAGATCCTATATTTTCGAATTCACTCAATTAATTATAGATGAAACTAGCAGGGCCCTAGAACCTCATACTTGTAACTCAAATCGATGGATTAATCACGAAGCTACGGTCATCGATAATTATCGAGAATAAAAAAAAAACAAGAAACAACACTGCCAAATTGTGATACACGAGTTTTTCCCACCTAGAAGAGAAAAAAAGAAAGTGAGATGATTTTATAATGTGAAAGAACAGCTCTGGAGTCAACCCACGTTATTCTAAGCGTTGAGCAATTAATTCTAGTTACCAAGATGTTTTATGACTCCCACAATTGACATAAAGCAATGCTGGAAGCACTGGGGACAACTCCAAGAGCAAAAATATAATCTTGAGGGAGATTGAGGATTTTCAAGTGAAATCTTCTATTCTAGGATTTTTCTCGAGAAAAAATCGACAAATTTTCATAAATTACAGTAATTGGCAGATGTCAACATAAAGTGTGTAATTTCATTTTTTGAAATGAAAACTTTTCTTTTAATTTTTATTGAAGACAAAACAGGAATTACTCTATTAGAAAAAATCTTGAAAAATGTTTTTCACTTGAATATCTTCACTAAAGCGAGAGTCAAGACCTAAAATAAAGAATGAATTATAAAAAAGAAACGACTAGAAAAATCACTGGAATATTTTTCAAGACTACGTTTTACTGTTTCGATTGAATAATTAAAGTAAACAATTGAAATTTATCTAGGAAAGGAGGAGAAAATCAGTACTTTTCATACAACTCTTGACAGCCCTCGGGCTCTTTTATGTATATAATGTTCATGTGTACAGTGCCTTTATACATAAGAGAACAACTGAAATGAAGATTTTTATGACAAACAGCCTCGACTCAGCGAAGATTTAAATAATAAAAATCGTCGATTATCTTCATTTTTATCAAATAAAAGTAATAAAAGTTTTGCATTACTTCTCAATTCAAGATAATTCATGTAAATTAGTACTTGGATTTGTTGTGAAACTGTACAGTAGATTATTTAAGACGATAAAACTGCACTGTAGCTAGCCTTATCAATACCATTAGTGACGCTAATTGATTAATTATTACAATTAATTCTCCATTCGTGGATTGAAGAGAAACTTTTCTTTTTTTTTTTATTGAGTTTTCTCGATTTTTTCGAGGGAGATTGTGGAGATCTATTATTGCAATTAATATTGTGTTTTACCATTACGATGTAATATAACGGTTAAAGCTCATCAGTTGCTTATTTGTTTTTATTTTATTCTTTCATAATTATCTTTATTGCAGATCCACCGGAATTATCACGTTTTACCATCAATTCTTGATGATTAATTCATTCTATTTTACCTATTTATTTAAAAAATATTGATTGACGATAACTGTCCTATTCTATCGTTTACTCATCAATTAATTTATGTACATTTATTTCTCCGCATTTATCTATCAAAGATATATTTTATTTACAAAAATCCATAACGCTAACTTTCTAACTCTTGGATTTTTACAAATATCTCGGCATCTAGAGGAGACAGTGAATTCTTCATTGCAACTTTTTTGTAGCTCCAACTCGGCTCTACAAAAAACTTCCAATAAAAATTTCTCTACCTCCATTAAATTACGAAATATTCATCAAAAACTGACCCGAAGTAGTAAACACAATAAGTCATTTCCACTTTCGAACATGGGTTTTCTGGGAATATCTCGAGACCTATAAGATACAGCGAAATCTTTATTGGACCATTTAAATAGTTCCACTCTCTATCTACAAAAAAGGTCTAGTAAAAAATTTCGCTGTTCCTGGTGGATTCCGAGATATTCACGAGTATCTTTTAAATTTCACTTGAAAGTCTTCCCCAATGATTTCCCGAGCCTAATTACAATATTTATGTTCTCGTGATTAATGACATTTGTTTTCTCCTCGCTTGTACAACCCCATAGACAACGGCAGCAAGACTTCTACAGCTGCTGCGACCCCTTGGAGGTCCCTCAGGCTGAAGAGTGTCCCTTCCCAAGACGAAATAAGTCTCCATCGTGCCTTTTCCCTTCACCTCAATCAATCCCCTTTTTTGGGTTTGATATCCCCGTGTCTCCAAGAATTTGGCGGTTTCCTTGGGCACTTGGATCTTGCCCATAACCCCAGTCGAGTCCATCCTGGAGGCCTCGTTGACAGTATTCCCCCAGATATCGTAGACTGGCTTCCGAGCACCAATTACTCCACCCACCAGAGGACCACAGCTGATCCCCACTCGAAGATCGAAGTTGTTGAAGGAATGAATGTTCACGTCTTCCAGACGAAGACGCATCGCCACTGCGTAATCCACTAGCCTGCAGAGATGATCTCTATCATCTTTTGATTGATCACTCTGACGTGGATTGAGACCAGATGCAGCCATGTAAGTAGCTCCAACAGTTTTGATTTTCTCGATGCAGTGAAATGGAGCTTCATCCAGAAGTTCGTCAAAATCAGCGATAATTTCATTGAGCAATCTGATGCACTCCATCCCCTTGTTGACATCTTCAGAGTAGAATTCAGTAAAATTGGGAACACTAGCGAACATAACCCCAACCCTTTCCCTCTGTTGAGAATACAATTCCTCAGGTGGTCGTTCAGTAGTCAAGAAATGATGGGCGACATGATCAGGCAGAATATTTTTCAGCAATTGCATATTATTGTGCTTGGACTCAACCATATCCCCAAGCTCCCTCTCGGCTTGTTGTTTCCACAAGAAATCCAACCTCGAGGTCACCTCCACCAGTCTCCCATGGTACGTCACAACCACCAGAAAGACAACGAGAAGTATCAGCATCTGTGCAGACAGCGGAATCGCTGCTTCGTCACTGTCCTCAGGTGTCATGAAGAGTTCCTCATGCCAGAAGAGAATTAAAACGGCGTACATAACGACAATCATGGAGGCCAGGGCAGTCTTCACCAGGTAATAAAGTTTCAGAGCGGAAGCTAGAGCAATCAAGCAGAGGATCCAAGTGAAAACGATGTATTCAGGTTGAAGACAGCTCCTCCACTCGTTCTCTAAGAGGACAACTGCCTCCGAGGGATTTTCCCCTGTCTCCAGGATGGAAAGGCTCCTCTTGGAGGTTAAATGTCCCTGGTGTCTGGGGATGAATCTCCTGTAGTGTCTCCTGCCTCCAGGGTGAGAGTCGTGTCGATAATACCTGAATATCTCCTGTTTTCGGTGCCCTGAGACGACATTTCCAGGATCCCTCATCCCTTGGGAGAAGTTCGAGGCTTTTGACGGGTCCCTCAAACCCCCCGGACTCGGCTCGTCCTCCAGGGCTGCCTCCAGGAACTTGACGATGAGACCATTAATGCCTGGGGCGGTTGTAGGGGTTGCTGGAACTTCTGTTGGAACTTCTGCTGGAACTTCTGTTGTTTTTCCTCGTAATTCATTGATTATGGGGAGCTCTGGGGGTGGATAACGCCCTGAGGGGCATGCCAGGACCCCAACGACGGATGTCATTGCCATCAGCATTATCAGGCTGCAGGTAAAAACCGTTCTGTGCAACTTATTGTGGACTAGCATCGAGGACGCGTGCTGCAGGTACTCTGGCAAGGTCTTGAACTCCTCTGCCATCACCAGGACGGAACACACGATGAAGATGAGGGAAGTGAACAGAAGAGATCCCCAGAGAATTATGCAACTACAAAGCGAAGTTTTTTATCCAGTTGGTAAAATCAGGGGATAAAATCCAAATGAATGATTGACTTTCCGATAATTTTAGGAGTGTTTCGACTTACTCTGAAACAATTACTGCCTGACAAACAGCGATGAATATCCAAATGACGACGCAGCAGGTCATGTTGGATTTGAACATGTCCTCTCGGAGCTGGCCAAATTTAGACTCTAGACTGTCGTCGTTGTAGCGCAGGGTCCAAGGGTTTATATTTGCTAATCTCATTCTCCTGTTGCTCGCGGTTTCGAGACCACCGGGTCTTTTTTCACCACCTTCTTCATCCTCATCGTCTTCAAGATATTCAGTCTCCAAGTTGCTCATGGAATTCGCACTGTTCAGCTGGAAAAATAAAACAGAAAAATTTATTTAAAAACGTTATCATTAAAAAAAAATATTTAATCGTTTTGATTTACATTTTCAAATGGGATTTCCGGTATCCAATCAACTCCAACATCCTCTTCATCTTTAGAGGTGTTTGTGCTGTTGCATGTCGAGGACAATGGATTTGACAGTTTAAAGCTCTTCTTGGATTTATTTCCAGTCTCGTCATCAGCCCAGACTTTGGGCTTCGCTGATGGTCTTCGTCTAGACCTCAGGGGCTCCAGCTGTTTGATCAAGTACGTGACGACATTTCGGTCTTTCAAGTAATTGTCCCTGTCCATACCGTTGCCAGGCTCCACGTCGTAAACTTCATTGAGACACGCCAGAGTATCAGCTGATATGTGGACACGTCTATGGACAGGGGAAATTATTGAAATATTAGTATTAAATTGACATTTTGCAAATAATCACTGAGAGAATTTCTCTTAGTTAAGAGACAACAGATTTTCTTTCAAATTTTTGTACACGTAAAAATTTTCATATTTACCTTGAAAATATGAAAAATTAAAATAAAAATAGATAAGAAGAGTGACATATTCTGGTTTCACTACTTGTCTACTCTATTTCCTAATTTATTCTTCAATACCTGTCTCTCCTGTTACCAAAAGTTAATTAAAATAATTGAGACTAAAGTCTTCGACTAGAGCAGGAGCAACTACAAAGTTTCAGTAAAATACCTGTACACGAAACACCAAAAAATCCAGAGTTCCCCGAGATCTTGAAAATCACACAGAAAAAAACACAAAAATTGAGTAACGGAAGTAATGAATTTTGTATACCCGGGAATCCCCCCGCTTTCTAGATGATTCGCGAGGGTGACGTCGTAACTCCAGACGTCAAACTGCCATTTCCTCAGACCCAGGACTCCACACAATACAGAACCGCTGTGAATTCCGATCCTCATATCCAAATCCACCTGAAAATGTCCTCGTCAATTCTCCATTGTCAAAATTTTAAAAAATTATCGAGAAATACCTTCTGAGCATATCGAACATCTCTGATAGCCTTGATCATCTCAAGACCCATCTCGACACAGCAGTGGGCATGATCACTCCTCGCTGTTGGCAATCCCGAGACGCAGTAGTAACAATCCCCCAGGAGTTTTATCCTCAGGCAATGATTTTCAGACGACAATTTGTCGAAACGAGCGAAGAGACTGTTAAGAACCTTCACCAGCTCCTGTGCACTGCATTGGCTCGCCAGTGCTGTACATAAAAAAAAATTAATGTTAACCATTTCCTAGTTTGTACTTTTCAATTACAATATTTGGACTTTTTTCTTAATTTTCTAATAAAATATCTGTGAAATATTACGGTTTTCCACAATTGACGTTCAATTAAAAATTTTTCAATTTTTTCGATAAATTCATAAAAAATGATTTTTTTAATGATTACTCAAAGTCATACAAAAGTTTCATGTGCCTTTTATATGCGAATTTTTATTTCTAGTGACGACAGCACTATAATACAAGAAAATAAAACAAACGAATATTGGAATGAAAATAAGTTTCAAAATTACTGGCAACAATAACTGCTCTTATTCATAAAAAAATGCCATTATCCACTTATTTTTATTGCACACTCCGGTTAACTATTCCGCGAGGCAATGCCAAATGATAATTTGTAAATATTCTAGACTTGAGAATGAAACTGTTGGCAGAACAGTATCAAAAATATTTCACAAACTCAAGTGCAAATTTCTTTGGAAAGACTTTTTTCGATGTGCATAATAAATTCTCTAATTGGAATTGACTCATGATTCCCACAATGAAGCACTTCCGCTGAATAATAATAATGTAAATAATAATTAACAATCAAACATTAACAGAAATATCGCAATTTCCACGTGCATCGAAAACGCTTTCCAAAAATTTCGTAACGGTCCACAGGAACTTCAGCTTCCTCTCAACCACAAAAATTCCACAGAGCTACAACTACTCCACACAATATAACACGAGAGAGACAGATGAGTAACTGGGAATTTATAGAGCATACGACGGTTTATTTTCAGCTACGACACGTTTTTGCTAATGTCACAGCAGCATGACTGATGTGTACTTTGGCGACTGCAAAACATCATCTTCACAGTTGTTTAATTTATGTAGACAAGAGTCAGCTGACGAATATTGTGGATAAACTAATATGAATCTCATAAAAAGTTGAGAATTTAATTCAATTAAAGACGTCAGCTTAAGCCAAAAAAAAAAAATGAAAATAAAAGACAGAATTATTTTTACAATTTATCAATTTCTTCTTTTACACCGAGACTTTATTTTTTAATGGCCAGAAATAGAGAATAATTCGAGAAATATTAAAATTACCTGTGAATCCCTTGATATCAGCAAACAAAATGCTGACATTTTCATATCTGTGAAGATAAATCCTGTGAAACTGATTGGGAGTAAAGGAAAAAGTTCCTCCACTGGCTGTCTCCCTGGCGATGTCCCTGATCATCTCCTTGGCGACAAAGTCTGGAAGAACTGAAACGAAACATAAACGTAGAATTTTCATTTTGACACGACTGCTTCGTCCTCGAATAAAGTTATCTCGTTATTTCATTTGAGAATTGAAAATCGATTGTTTTATTAATAAAACATGGGGATGATGGGGCGTTGATGGATGAAGAGAGTCAATCGACTGTGAATACCTCGATTGACCCTTTTAACACTTGGCTGAGTCAAGTTCTCGGGTCAGTGAGTTATTCCCACGAAAGAGAACGTACGTGACAATAACATTATTCAAAAAATTAAAAATTTGATTGGAAATTCGTTTTTCGCTTCATTAGGCCGTCCCTTTATCGATGCGATTGGCTCTTCCGTATTTTTTCACGAGATATTTTATTCCAACAGGACTCGAGGAGCAGACAAATTTTTTACCAGAAAGTAAAAGTTTCTCCTGTCTATTATTTTCATTTTGGGTCCGTTGTCTAGTCTCCATGGACCTGTGGGTCTCCAGGAAAGCCTGACGTTGACCTCTATCCGTCAGATATTTTGTATACATTCCCACGAGGTTCACAGCAATGTACAGAAGAATATTTGTCGTTAACATTCGAAGGATGCACATTAAATCTTGAAGCTGCAATCAATTCCGAATTACAAACAGAATAAATTCAATTCAACTGAAGATTATCTGGAATTTTTCCCTTACGTGTTTCTGGTTCAAAAAAATTGTAGCAATTGTCATAATCATGTGGGTGAGGACAGTCCCAGATCCAGCGACGACACACCACCTCAGAGGCAGTGGCAACATTGCATAAGGTGCATAAACAACAAAAAGAATGTACCACATCATCCTCTGCTGTGAATAAAAATTCAGTCCAGCAACGACGAAACCTGAGAATGACAACATAAAAAATTGACCAGCGATTTTTCGGGGTGTACCACTGGGTGTATACTGGGGATTGATAAATAACCCAGTGACAACTGGAATTGTAAAAATATAAGACAAGTGGAATGAAGAGACTAACGAGCCAGTTTTAATTTATTTTAGTCTCAAGGCAACTTCCTCAGTGGATAACGTATTTTTGGGATTTTTCGTCTAGTTATTGAGGCGAATGAGTGAGATAGGGCTTTCACGTCTAATCAGAGGTGCTCGAATTCTTCTGGTTGAGTGATGTGAGGCCACTGACCTTGAGTGTTTATTAACAGCCAGGTAAATATAGATGCCCAGTAGAGGTAATTGTTGGAGAACCAACGCCAGAGGCCTAGGATGCAGACAACAAGATTTGCTAGCATGCAGCATGACACCCAAGACAGGGTTTCTATCAGGCCACTGCTCTTCTCCGTTCTCCGGGATATCCAGATTGATATCAGAGCTATCTGAAACGTCAGACCAATTTACCGAATAATTCTTTTGCAAATTATCAAACTTATCCTAGGTACCATTTTTTTAACGCCAGTTTTCAGCTAATATCTCGTTATTAAAGCAAAATTACCACATTTTCATAAATATCTTTCTTGCAGCTCTGGTCTTCCTCTATGAAAAATGTATTTATATAAATCTCGCTATCTTCCTTCAATTCCGAGGTATCAACTAAAGACGGCGTTAAAAGAGGACATACCTTCAAACCAAGATCAACGACATTCAACATGATCAACGACTTCTGCCTCTGACGACTCGAATACTGAAAATAAGATTTCTCTAAACTAGAGCTGTGAAAACTGGTGGTTAACGATGGACAGAAAATTCCTTTGTACAACAGGCCCTTCTTAAAAACATCTGGAACAGAAAGAATAATTATTATTTCACATAAATAAATCACTAAACGTAAATAGATTTTTTTTGCTTTCACTCGCTATGAATCACTGCTCATTGCCACTGCTCCCATTCCGTGTTAATTAAAATAATTGTTCCGTCGGTATTTGACTGTTGACAGGTTCAGAAAAAAAATGAAATTCAAAGATTTTTATACCTGGTTGAACTGGCGGCTCTTCCTCTTTCTCCTGTTTCTCCTCGAGGAGAACTTCCGGAGGTGCAACGACGATCGTTATTTCACCTTGGGGTTCCTCTTCCTCGATGTCCGGTAGATCTGAATCCTCTTGGGGCTGGGCTGCTGCTGCTGCTAAACTACCCCATGCTGCCAGACCCTCTCGACCGAGCCTCTCCGACGTAAGCTTTTTCACTGCCTTGATCCATAAATGCTTCGTCGGTGATATCCGTAATCTAAAATTTTCGTGGACTCAATTGAGGATAATTACCCCTGTCATCATCCCCCATCCGTCAAAAAAAAAAACTAGAATAAAAAAAATTCATCAACAGGAAAAAAAGAGTGACTGATTAATTATATAATTATCGATATCTCGAAAACCATTCGCCTGATTTACAAACATGGCACGACTTTTTTCGAGCCGATTAAATTTTTTGTAAAAAATGTATTTTGATAGTTTTCAATTGATCCAATATTTTCCGATATAAATCGGTATTTTACAATATTAATTTTGAAGTTGTAATTATAGTCCATGAAATTATCTGAAGAATATTGCGTCAATAAAAGAATGAAGACAGACTAGTAATTATGATCAGCCGTTGAATAACGAGGCAAGCCATAAAACTAAAAACAAACCTGAATTATTCCACATGTTTTAATAACTCACTCATTGCAGCTTGGTACATCGGGTTCCAGCATCATGGTCCACGTCTGTTCTGTAATCATTATCTCTCGATGACGATAATGCCCCAGAGTACCCCTCAACCTCCCCTCAATTTAGTTTATCCAAATAAAATGAAAAATAAAATTTATCCCCTGAACAGGCTCTCTCACATTGCCATCCACAATTTGTCATGTACTGAATAACGAGACATAATCTCTCCGCCTGATGATTATCAATGCCGAAAAATAATTTCCTCGACAATAATTTATTTCACCTGGAACTAACGAAGAATTTTGATGATAGGGCTGTATTGTGGCACACCATATCCAAGATTATTTAAACTGTCACAAAATAGTCGTTGCTCATTACTTCATGACCGTTGAATGGCGAGTGTAATGAAGCAACAAGTAGACGAGTTCAGTGACATTCGAAGCAACACCAATTTAGCCACAGAAGCCCAAGCATTTTTACATCGATTTAATCAATCAATCGATTAGTCTGATTATAATGACGATCCAATAGGTATTAATCCAATGGTATATTCCTGATGGTGGATCCAATCTCCCAGATTATTTCCTCTAAAACTTGTAATTATCGATAATTCGGGGTAATTAGTTGGGTGTTATCCAATTGTTGTTGTTATTTATATTTTTTTTTATTGGCGGTGGGTTGGGGATAGGGTTTGTTTACTCGCCTCTTGGTTTACCTTTTTAACCGATCGACACTCGACGACTAACTCGAGAGGACAATTTCAAACCAACCGGCCGGCCCGCTCTCATCATTTACGTCACTCCTTGCCTCCCCTCCCATCCACCATTTCACCCCTCTGCCCTCTTCAATACTTTTTTTATTCGTCCCTTCTCTTTATTACTCTTGTGAAAAAATCTCTTTACGTTTTTTATAATTTTACATCGATTGCGCTTTTACTTTTTCATGACAATCGAATTAACTATTTCCTAGAATAATAAAAAACGTGAATTCTGGTTAAAAATCGGTTGAAAGTTCTCAATAACTTGGAGTTGCAAAAAATTTTTTGGCCATTCACAATGAAAAAAACACAATGGACCTTCGACGATTTTCTCCATATTATTTTCGGTTTATTCCGGAATCAGTATTTGAGAGAAAAGTGTCATAACTCTTTCGAAATTCCAAGGAAAATATTTTTGACATTTAACTCTGAGCCCATCAGCTACAAAAATACCCCTCGAAACAATAAAAAAACACAATAATTTGCAGTAAAGTGATTTCACTCGAGAGCGAATTGAATTTTTCAATCATGACATGGAAGCCTTTCACTCTAGCTTTTACTCCATGAAAAAAAATAATAATTCAATCACTGCGCATCCAACAAAGACAATTTTTCCATTACTGAATCGTATTTATTGAACTATCATATAATTTTACAGTGCACCTAAATCAAAGGTGAGCCTATCCCTATAACTAATATGTAATAATCCATATATTATATTTATATTAACTTTTGTTAGTAAAAAATAGGCATTTAGAATGACAAATGAATGCTACAATGTCACAACTAAAAACATTCAAGTCTTTTGTTTTTCAAATAAAAGGAATTCACGTGGAGAAATCAGACTCAAAATACATCGATAATTGTTATTATCCATTAATACTGCATTAAGCATGAAGATATTGTTCAATTGACGAATGTAATTTTAGTTGTGACGGATCTTTTACTCTCCCACAAAAATAATTATTTCTACGTAAATATTTAAAATTAATTGGAACTCAAAACATAAATAATTAGACGAATAAAATAAAAAAGATGCCATTTTGAGCTTAAAAAATGGCAGAACTATAAACCAATTAAATAATCACCCTAAAATCTAATCATTTGGTCAACTAACGTTTAAACAATAATGAAGAACATGTGATAAACTCATGAAATCCCTCCAAACAAATATTCTTTTTATGATTACAGGGCTATCGATCAGAATATGATGTATGTTACTCATTTCCCATACGAGTCTAGTCAAAGTCAAAAGAAAAATAAAAAATGAAACACGAATGAGGAATAAATAAAAATATTTTCCACGCCATAACTGGAAATTTTCTCTCACTTCACAGAGAAATTTTACAAAATTGAATTCTTCAAATTCTGAGACTTTGGACACAACGACACAACTCACAACTTTTCGCACAGCCATAGGCATTACAAAAAAAAGAATAATCTTATGATTTTTCCATTTTTTAAGTAGAGAAATTCATAATCATGAGTTAATTATTGAAATTATTTCGATAACGAGTGGAGTGGGAAGTATTCAAGAGATAATTTTTGAAAATTTTGTCGATCAAAAATATCTATTGATATTTTTCTCTCAATCCGTTCGTTTAAGAGATAATTTTGCAATTAACGAATGATTTTTCAGACTTATTCTAGCCGTTCAGTACAGAATTTCGTATTTGATAAATAAACAATCGAAGACAACGATACACAATTGAAATTTTACTAAGTCTTGACTCGCAATTAAGGATGGAATGATGCTTATTACTTAATGAGAGAATCAAAACATAAAACTTCTAATTTCCGCTTCAACTTGTTAATTTTCATTTTAGAATTCAATAAAAAAAAAATGCCACGATTTCTCTTCTAAAAGTTTTTCCCATAGTCTATAAAATTGAATAATTACCAGTAATTAACTAGAAAGTGGAATCTTCTCAGTTTCTGAGTTTCTTCCGTGGAATTTTCGACTCGAATGAATTGCAGTTTAAAAACGAAAAAGCTTTTACCAAGTGTCGTCAGCACGTTGAGAAGACGGATTATCTAATTCTACTGTTTATTTCGAATAAACAATGAAAAGAAATATCTTCAGCTGAAGTGATTTATGATGCCTCTGGAAGAGCCCTTCGCTCCTCGATGAGCACTTTGTGGATGTAGATATCCCGGTCCTCGAGAGAGACATCAATTAATTCCAATCCCAGAACGATATTGGAAGGTGTCGAATCATCGTGCTCTAATCGCCTGATTACGGATACGAAGTTCCTGTTCACGACTAATTTTTGGAATCGTAAACATGTTGTTAGAGGCCAATCCGCGTTTAGTGGCTGGATACCTGAATTATCGGATAAATAATATTATTTTATCAATAATCCTTGAACGTATAAAAATTATTTGGATAGCCAGGAGTAGATTTTGGATGCAATAGCTGAGATGATTAATTAAGATAAAGATTAAGACTTGCGGCTTACCAACTAGCCTAGCCTTAATAGCTTGATACGGTAGATCGTAGAATTCTCTTCTCAGTGGTTGCACCTGACTCAATGTGACGATATTTATATTTCCAAAATCGCACAGATGCACTGACACCGATTGGTCATCCAATACTCGATTAGTGCATGCACTGGAAATAATTTTTTTCAGTTTCAAATTTTCATGCTGTCATTCCAATCGAATCCCCACAATCGATAATAAGTAGAATTTCCCTTTCCCTTTCCCTTTCCAAAGAGGAAACTCCAGTCACCAATTCTTCCATCGAATTTGAAATTTGCGGAAATAAAAGTCACGGGAAAATGTTTTTACATCCGACCACCCATTCTCAATAGATAAAGATGTTAAAAGAGGGTTTTTAAGTTGAATAGAGAGATATTTCCAGTTATTTTTATTTTATGATGACTCACCGATACCAGAATCCATCGTAATACTTCACAGCGCAGACTTTCCCCTTCTCCAGGTCATTCATCATCATTTTCGTTCCATCATTGGTCTTGTAAGCTTCTTGGAGAGCTTTCATCATCCCCTGAAACAAAATCCATTCGACAATATAAATGAAAATTCAAATTTCAAAAACAGAAATATCTGGTTCATTCACTTTACAAATCGATCAGATTGTTCACTTTTAGAAAGGATCGATTCGATCGACTCGATCGATTAAAACCAAAGAATAAATTTAAAAAACTCACTTCAAGTTTAGGTTTCTCCTCAAAGGGCTGCACAATGAAATTATCAGGACTTGATGTGAGATTAGTAACACTGACGTTGAAGAATTCACCAATCCCCGGAATCGTGGGACTCTTCAATGCCTTCAACGATTCATCGCTGCTCCTGCTGCCCCTCCTCTCAAGCCTCTTCTTCCTCACATTATTATTTCCATCCCCACACTTGACGATTTTGGGTTCCAAGTCCAGAGTATCATTAATCGAAATGAGTAAATTATCTGGCTGTGACCTCTTGAAGAGCTCCACGATTGCAACTCTGTTGGACACTGGAGGCTGAACAACTTTACACAGAAGAATATCGGTAGGCCCAGCGAGTTCCCTCAACCTGGACGCCATCCTCTCAGTGAACCTGTTCCTCCCCAGATTATTCATCTCAACTTTGATAACTTGAGCTGGAAACCTGGCAAGATTGTCTGAGAGTTCCTGGAGCCTCAGGAGTTTCTTCAGTTCGACTTCGACGATATCCCCAGAGTCCACAGTCCTCATGACAGCTTCGTTGCCCCTGTACGACACTCCCACCCTCACCCACTCACCATTAGGCTTCTGAGCGAGATAAATCTGATCAGGATCAATCTTTCCATCGACTGCAGCCTTTGCGAGGATTCCCTCGTCCTCTGCAATTCCTTCCATCAGGCAATTCAACATACTAGTTAATATGGCCATTCCATCGTTCTTCACTCTCAGATAAACATCTCCATTCATCTCAATATGTGATACAAACACTTCGAGAAGTTTTCCCTTTACCCCAACCTGCGCCTCCGGCTTCGACATCTCCATCGCCTCATGCAGCTCCAGTGAAATTTTCTCATTGACATTGACATCCATTTCGCTTGTCGTGTCATAAAAAACTCCCACAACCACGTGACTAATTTCATCCTCATCGAGTCTCAAGACTTGCATGTAGAAAGTTTTGTCGAGAAGATGACTCTCAGCAATGTCAGTCGTTGTATCGCACACTGCAATATCCTCGAGGGTTGATAGACAGGCTCTGACAGTCTGCGGTGGCACCTCCAAGAATTTTTTATCGAGAGGAAAGAGCATAGAGGTGTTGACAATGTCATTGTCCCCCGTGTCAACAAAGAAAATAGTGGCATCACCTGTCAGTGGATCCAGGGCCTCGACCCTCACTCTGTGTGCCTCGTCCTTGATTTTTGTTACGTAGTGATTGAGAATCTCGACAGAAGCTGCTGGTTCTGTGACTGATGCGTAGTGTACACTCAACTCTTGTGACATTGCATAAAATTTCTCGTTGTACTCGTCCTCCAGAAGACGAATCCACACGTCTGAGGTAGAGGACACATGAGAGACATACACTGGCCATAATTTGCTCGATGGTAGTACCAGAGGCCTTAGAGTCTCTAGCGGTTGTTTGTACAGGCATTTCTCGCGTTTCGGAGAGAGTGGAGGAGATTTCATCACGTGCACCTGTGGCTCACTTCTGCATACAATAATGGAGTTGTCAACGCCTTTCTCTAGTGCCAGCCCCGTGAAACCCTCGATGTAGTCCACCCAGTCATCAGGCAGCATCTCGTGAAACTCCTTCTCATACAGTCCAGGCAATCGATCTCTGAATACACCATTGGGGTGCCCATCGACAATTTTAATTATTCTCTGGATAACCACCTCCTTGTCCTCAGTTATCCTCATCTTAGCTGGTGACTCATGAAGCCTGTGAAGAGCATTGACAGCTGCAACAGCAGCCAATTTAGCAGCCTCCACCTCACTCGCAGCATCAAATGGATAACTACTGTACTTATGTTTTCCCACCATCACCTGCGTAAAAATGTTCACCCTTCCCCCTTTACCAACATTAACAGTCTTGTACGCAGGTTCACTGAGATTGAGCCTGAGGGTAAGAGCCCTGAGCTCCTCCCTGGGATCACCAGCCTCGGGTGGAGGTGTAATAGGACTGGAATATTCAGATTTAACAGTCACTGCCTCAGTCTTAATCCCCTGGAAAATCTTGTCACTGGGCTGAGGCTCTGGTGAAGGTCTCCTCAGTCTCTCACTCAATGGTCTCACGACCTTGAGAGGTGGAGGTATTTTTTGATTGCTCGCTGTCTCGAAAGGTACCAACGAGGGCATTGACACTCCATTATTCACGTTCTGATTACTTCCAGGTGAATTATCACCTACAGGGGCATGAGTGACACCGCCAAGGACAGCACTGACTCCTCTGAATCCATTCAATCCGAAATCTCCATTGAAAAGGATCTGTTGAGATGATTTCGGTGTCTGCGGAGGACTGACAAAGGTTCTTCCATAATTATTCTGATTGAGATGATTTGAGAAAACTTGGGGATGTGGCCTTGAGACATCCCCATTGGCCTGGGGATTCTGTATCTGAGACCGATCCTCTAGACGATTCTGCTGTCTTGTGACTACTGGAATTGGCTCTCCTCTGGGTGAAGCTGCGGATGAATAAATCATGGAATTTCCATCTGATTTTACAACAGCCCTTGGAGGATGGACATTCAGTGGTTCTGGCTTGGCAACAGGCTTGGCGGGATAAACAGTCACAGTTCTCTCAGGATTCACAGGCTTTGCAGGATAGACTATGACAGGCCTCTCCTGATTCACAGGCCTTGACTGAACTCGCTGAGCTGCTGGATTCGCTGCTCTTGGAGGCCATGACTTCAGAGGCTCTTGATTCTGATTTTTAATTACTTGAGGATTGAATCTCGGTGGATTTCCAGATTTTTGCGGCTGGAAGGACCTCCTGGGGGACTGAGGTGGCAACACCTGGTGATTATTATACCTCGATCTCGCGTTGTCGTTGATAATGGGTCTCCTCGAGGTCATCTGCATTCTTCGCGGCTTCTTCGAAGTTTTCTGCTTGTTGATGAGCGCAACCAAGTGCGCTGTGTTCTCACCAGGAATTACCTCGATGTAGACAACTCCACCTTTCTGATACCGACGCAATCCTGGCACCTGCGCGAGAAAATCCTCGAGATTGGCGAATCCCAGTTGACGATAAGGGATATTCTCACCCTCGAGTGACCGGAAGTCACTATTCAAGTGCTCCAGGGGAACTCCACCCTTCGTCGCCGTGAGGCAGGCCCTCAGTCTCACAACGAGCTCATCCATATTTATCTCTTCAAATCGACTTTAATCTGATCTCTTCACTTCTTCGTCTTCTAGTCTTTGTCTCCTAGTTATCAGTGGGAATAGGGAATCAAATTATTTCGCTGATTCCAGAAGCGAGACTATTTGGAATCCACGAACAAAGGGATTATCACGATAGAAAATAAATATTTGCACGGATATTTACTCGTATTATTTTGAAATGTAAGTGTATTGATTTGAAGACTTCACGGGAATTTGAGGAAAATTTTGATGGCCCGGGATTAACGATGAAGCAAAATATATCGGATAATATAATTCACAAATGCTCGGGGTCAGTGATTCAGACTAAATAAAACAGTTAATTCACGATAACATTCACTCACGTACAGACGAGTTACGACTGATTGAATTTGTGTCGAGTGCCCGGTGTTTATATTCTCTTCGGTGGAGGGGCAACCGGCGAGGGAACCAAAGGTGGGGGGAATTTTCAAGAATTTTGGGAATCCAGAGAGGGTCCTCGGGATGTTCGACGATTTGGAAAATTTGACATTAGAAACATTTGAGAGAAAATTTAATTAAAAAATGATTTTTTCGCGAAAATTTTCGTGAAGTCGGGAGTCGCAGTTTTGTGGGTGGCGCGGGTGATGGAGGAAATAAAGAGGGGAGGTAAGAGGAGAAATAAGGGAGGGACTGAGGTTTCTTTCTAATTTTTCGTTTGTGATTTTGGGAGTTGTTTGACTTTTGCGAATTCATGTGGTTGGAATTAATGGATTCGCGGGGGCTTTCGGATTTTTTTTTTCTGATGGACATATTGTACTTACGTGGTATTTCAGGGGCTTTCTCTTGTCATCCGGCAATTGTTTTATCGGCGATGTGGCGAGTGCATCGGTCTAGATATTGGTGAAAAGGAGGGAACGGGTTTTCAGTGAGTTTTTCTCGTTTTTTTTTTCGCGAGGAAGCGGTACGCTTGCGCGTGACGTAACAAATGAAGTGGTACCTGAGGATCACGTGATTCGGCGGTCGGTTTGAATGCGCATTTTTTGCGATTTTGAAATTTTGCGGTGCAGAGAGAAGTACCAAGTTGGAATATAACCTTTTTTTATCAGTGAAGTGTATTCAACTCGCATTCCACTGTATCCAGTGTCCCATTTTGCCCCTGGATGCCGATTTGCCCGGAAATCTCATTCCGCCCGTGTCTCCCCTAATTAATTAATTAAATTTTTCTCCCCGATTTTCCTCAATTTTCCTAAATAATTAAACAATTTTTTTTTTAATTAAATTTCTATTCTACGTTCAGGGTTGAATTAAAAAGTTAAATACAGAATTAAGAAAATGGGTTTTTCCCGGGAAATCCCCTCGACCCTTCACTATAACAGCAAAAAACGGGACAATCCCGGATTAACTCTTCCCCCGTCAAAATTGTATCCCTGCAATGAACTTCAAGATTGAAACCAAAAAGGTTTATATTTAAAAAGCAATAAAATATTTTTAAAGGTGTAAAAAGGGTCAGGTAAAGGATAAAATTAGTTCCAATTACCTCCATAAAGTCAGGCCGAAACAACAAGAAAGGCTGCAAAACTGGAGAGGCAATAAAATATTTCTTTGAAGACAAAAAAAAAATGAGAGCTGGGTCTCGTTTTGAAGGAAAAGAGAATTTTTCACGTGTGGACCACGTGGAAACAGTACAAAGACTATAAAACGTGAATCCTTCCAAATTTTTCATAGAAAGTAGAATGAAAAAAAGGGAAAAGTAAACCAAAACAGTCTAGTGGATAATAAAAACGCTAGAGTCCAGGAAGATGTCATAAAAATATTCAAGAGCTGCTCGGGTTACAGACCTGAACGAATTCTGTTTTCCCCCAAATTTTCCACTTTTCTTTCTTCTGACAGATGAATTTCTCTTTCTCAAAACTCTCTATTTTTTTTTTCAATACTTCTAATTGATATAAATCTACTCCATTAATTGTTAATGAATGGCCCAAGTGATTGAGTGGAATAAACTTTTTATTATTGAATAAAAAAAACATCTCACTATGGATTATCACGACTGACACTTCGTTTAAACGTCATAGATCGTAATTCAGATTTCTGATCACTCGAGGTATTAGTGGGGCTTTCAGATAAAGTTGCTCTCTCCTCGGTATTGGATTTTCCTCTGTCGATCCTCTGTTTGCTGAACCTTCCCATTCCAGGGCGATAAATCTCCATTGCAGGTCGATCCTGTAACCGCGAAAAATAACACAATAAAATAGAGATTGCTAGAATTTTTTAAATCAAAATAAAGTGCTAGGATGTTATTGACCTTGTTTCTTATCCTCCGCTCCTTCCTGGAGTCCTTTTTATCCTTATGCTTCTCGTCGTGGGAATTTTTCTGGAGATTACTCTGGTTATCACCGTCCAGGGACTTGTGTCTCCTGAGTTGTGCCCCATCGCCACCTCCAGCATCTCCACCGCTCTCCAAGGAACTCCTTCTCCGAGATAATTTCAGAGTTTTTTTTACAGCGGACGTGTCACTGTCGTCCATGTCAAATCCTCGGGGATCTTTATCGATTTGAATTGGCTCCGGTGATTTCACGGTGTCACCCTCTCCTCGACATTCTGTGTCAGTGGAATTGGTAACTAAAATCAATGAATCGAATCGTTTAAACTCATGACGACTAGTTAAAATTTGGAGGAAAAAATAATAATTTCATTGTATCAAAAGTTTTTCATCATAAAAATTATTCACCAGAATTCTTTGGGGTTCTCTCCTTGCTCTCAATTTTTCCACCCCCGTCACCCCCGCCGCTCTCCGGGGGGGTGGTTGCCCTCTCAAATTTCCCCTCTTTTTTCCTCCTCTCCCCTTCATCCCTCTTTCCCACCTCTTTAACATTTTCTGCACTTCCCTCCACCTGTTTTTTCGACTCTGCCAGGCGCCTCTTCTCCTGCCTCATCTTCTCATAACTCTTTCCCTTTTTCTCCTCAGTCCTCCTCTCCCTCTGCTCCCGAAAATCGTCTTTGAGCTCTTTTTGGCTTTTCCCATCGACTTTCTTATCCTCCTTGGGGTGATTCTCCTCACGGCGGTACGATTTCTTGTCCTCATGCTTCTTCTGGTGTTTTCCATCGCGCTCCTGTTTCCTATCGTCTTTGTAACCCTTTCCCATTTTTCCCTCGCGATCCCTCGGGCCCAGAACTTTATCACGCAATTTGTCGTCTTTTTTACGGCCCTTCGATTCTCTTTGGGGTTTCTCCTTTTCTTCTTTATTTTCTTTATTCTCACGGCCTACTTCACGCTCGGCATCCGGATTTTTCAAAACCTGAAAATGTTTTGTTATTATTTTTCAATTGTTTAACAAAAATCTCGGTAAAAAGTGCATTTTCAGTTTCATCTTCCAAACAGAAAAAAAATTGAATATAATAGTATAACGAGCCAATTATTAATTAATTATAGAATCGATGGCAATTTATTCGTCACAATCTGCATTTAATAATTTTCTACTCGTTTATTTCAATATCGGACAATCAAATCAAGAAAACTTTGAAGTTAGAATCCATTTTCATTACTAATGCGCAGGAGCACGTGAATTTCTTCTGTCACTTCAACTCCACTCTGGAGTTCTGGAAGTAGTTGATGAAAAAGTAAAAATCTTCATGGATTTTCATCGAATTCACTGAATAAAATTCACGATGCGATGTTTCTCATAAAATAATTCGAATATTTCGAATTCTCAATGACGTCCCGGCATTTTTTCTTGTGAGAGGAAAATTCCAGATTTCTCTTGGATTTCCCGCCGATAAAAATCGTCATCAATCCGTCCCCTACCTTGGAGATGGTGGGTTCATCCTTGGCTCGCCTCCTCTCCAAATCCCGTCTCCTCCTCTCCTCTCTCTTCTCATCCCTGACCCTCTGCTTCTCCATTTTCCTCTGCTTCAAGTACTCCAACAGGGGAGTGGTGGTGACCTTCTTCTGAGCATTATCAAACGGCTGAAAGGAGAACTCAGTCTTGGGCTGGGTTCCAGCAGCATCAGCCTCCAGATTTTTAAGACTATCCAGAAATGCAACGTAATAGGGATCAGTCTCGATGGTACCACACTTGACATCCTTCTTCCTCCCGATTCTTTTTTTGGGAAGCCTCTGGAACGGTGCGAACTCCACAACTGCTGGGTATTCAGTCCCTTTACCATCGACAAACACGTAGTTATCGAATTTCTCTCTGAACATGAAGATGTCTTTTTGGTCTGTGAAGTTTATGTAGCTCCTGCAGAAGGCGTGTTGTCCCAGGGACATGTCTGCCTTGACGAAGTGCAAGTAATCATGTTCAGGAAGGGGTGAAACCTGCTCGATGAATTGGTCTTGGGTCATTGACGGAGGCAATCGTCTGATCACAACCTGAAGGATTAAGGACATTATAATTAATAATAATATTTTGTTTCTATAATCAACTGTTCGCGGTGTAAAATCATGATCAATGATTTTTTACCACGATAAATTGGAGACGACAGGAATCATAACCTCGAAATGAGAATTTTCGGTGATGTCAACATACCTTGGTCATTGGTTTGCATTTTTCTTTTTTGTTGTCACCCTTTGGCTTTACCACATCGGCACTGGGGGTGGCTTGTGTCAAGGAATTAACTCCTGGTGTGATGACAGCAGTCACCGGCTGCTGAGACTCTTCAGTCATTTTTTCACCTGCGATATTGTGGTGGTCTGATTTCTTGAGAAAATAAATTAAAAAAATACCAGGGACAGAGACAAAGAGGATTGACTAAAGTAGAGGCTCAGTTCTGGGGGTAAAACAGTTCGCTAACCCGAGAGCAGATATAACCTCTGGTTGAACACTTACCATTAATGCTGGGTCTCGGAGAAATCTACCTTGTCAATGATAAATAATCCAGGAAGACCACGTGGTGCTTTACGTAACGAGGGGAGCGCAACAATCGTTTCTTCACGATTTTTCCACATTTGCCTGTGTGTTGCACCATTTTTCCAAGCTTAACACAGTGGAAAATTGAAGAAAATTCGAGGAATAACAATTGGCGGAGCCTTAAAAAGCAACAATAACGTAAGTCAATTATTTACACTTTGATTTTCACAACGATGATGACGAAGTTCAGTGAAATTTGGATGGGTTTGGACTTCCGAAGATGCGGGACCCTTGAACCGGTTTATTCCTATCACTTCGACTTCCACAAAATGAAATTAAACATTATTTTCATAAAAACAGTAATCCCGGAGCTTGAGCTCTCGATGAATTGATCTCCTGGGAGTTGAGGTGGGTGGTATTATTTCTGACGCAAGCTTGGAGTGCGATGACAATTCGAATAGGTTTGATGAGGTTAGCTTGGGAGCACGAGGGACTAGGAGGTGGTGGCACGCTTATTATAAAGAACATCATGCAATTTTTTTATGTAATTTTTCGCCGGTGAAAAGAAATTATTTTTTGTCATTACACAGCATCCAATTAAATCCAGACATGTCCATCTCACCTCACACTCACCTAAATACTTTAATGTCAATTTGTAGACCTTTTTTGAGGGTCCAATGATTTTTTATTCTACACACAAATGCTTCTACTTTTAGGTAATTAAGTCGAGAAATGGCTGCCAATTTCTTCAATAGGTTGGGACAAATTGGTTTGGGAGTTGCACTCACTGGCAGTGTTGTGAATTCTGCTCTTTATAACGGTAAATATTGTTGTTGATTATGCAATTATTCCTCCAAAAACATTCTGGTAATTTCCTATGGTTAATATATTTTTTTTTTTTCAATTACTTTGAAATGATCTAATGCTGTGTAGGTGTAGAAAAAATGCCAATTTTTTTTTTAAAGGAGGGTTTTGTGTAAACTAATGGATTCAATGACATGAATATTTTTTAGTGGATGGCGGCCACAGAGCGGTGATCTTCGACAGGTTCCAAGGAATAAAGCCTAACGTAGTGGGTGAAGGGACTCATTTCTTTATCCCTTGGATCCAGAGACCCATAATCTTCGACATTCGCTCACAGCCGAGAAATGTTCCCGTAATAACTGGCAGTAAAGATCTACAGAATGTCAACATCACCTTACGTATTCTCTTCAGACCAGTGCCAGAGTCGTTACCGAGGATCTACACAATTCTCGGTGTTGACTACGACGAGCGTGTTTTACCCTCGATCACTACTGAAGTTTTGAAGGCTGTTGTTGCACAATTCGACGCTGGAGAACTCATAACACAGCGTGAGGTGGTCTCGCAAAAGGTCAGCGAGGATTTGACTGAAAGAGCTGCACAATTCGGTGTCATTCTCGACGATATTTCCATTGTAAGTTCCACTTCATTATCGTATTATGTCTAAGAAGAAAAAAATCTAGACACAGCTAGGATACCCATTTATTAAAATAATATTCCTTCTACTTCAATCAATTGGGCAGAATGAAGACGTAACACAGTATTTTTCGTGCGTTTGATTGATTCCTCTGATTGAAATAAATATGAGCATTGCCTGGTACCCCTGGTATTTCATGCTCATTACGATTTATCTTTCCAGACTCACTTGACATTTGGCAAAGAATTCACTCAAGCTGTCGAGTTGAAACAAGTAGCCCAGCAGGACGCAGAGAAGGCTCGTTTCCTGGTAGAAAGAGCTGAACAGCAGAAGAAGGCAGCGATTATCAGTGCGGAGGGTGACGCAACTGCTGCAAGTATGTTGGCGAAGGCCCTGGGAGAAGCTGGAGATGGTTTAGTCGAGTTGAGAAGAATCGAAGCGGCCGAAGATATTGCTTATCAACTAGCTCGCTCTCGACAGGTGTCCTATCTTCCATCTGGCCCGGGTCTCCTTCTTAACGTTCCTCAGTAAAACATCTCCGATTTTTATTTCAAAAATTGACCGAGAAATATTCACAAGCAGGAAGCGACAAAAATGGTGTAAAAACGGAATATATTGTTCCAATTATTGTAAAAAAAAAACAGAGGCATTTTGTAGTAAAGGTATGAATACTTCCTTTTTCCTGTTAATTTAGACGACCCTCGAAAGTTGAAAGGAAGGATTAAAGATTCTTTTTCTTATTTTTAATTAATGTTGGTTTTTTTTTGTGGAGTAAATGGTAGATATTATTAATTCTTCGAGTTTATGGCGAAACAAGTTTATGGGTTTTTCCAATTTTCTGTCAATAAATTGGGAATTATCAGGATTCTTCGTGAGTGTTATTCAACCACTGCCACTCGATGTCATTACCTTGAAACATGATGAATAACAGCAGAATGTTAGAATTTGAATTTTACAGAATCGAGGTGCAGCCTCTCCTGCTGAACTTCGTAAATATACGAAAAAATAATCGATAAGAGAATGCATTCCCAGTGAATAAATAAAATTGAATGAATACACAGATAAAAATCCACTCGTTACATTATCTTTCTCCCCTACTGCAGCCACATCAAAAACATCAGAGGTTTCGTTAATTCCAGTTGAAAAAAAAATAAAGAAAAACACAACCGCGCCCCCCAAAAAAAATTCTCATTTCAACAATGAAATGAGGTGAAATCCCGAGATGTGTTGTTGCAAAAAAAAAAAAATTCAAAAAAAGGGAAATGATGTTCCATTGATTCTCACTTGAAGAACAGCACACTTGAGTAAAAATAAAAAAGCCACATGTGATCACTGGAACAAAAAGAAAGAAGAAGCGACACGCCTCGATGACGTTATAAATGATAGTCTGTTCCTTGTACTCCGAAAACACAAGACTTAATTGTTTTTCCAATGAAACATTGTTATTATGATACGTTTCACTGGTGTATTGGTGAAGAACTACCCACTGGACTTCTTCGTACTCATCTACCTCTGCTTCCTGTCCTTTACCGCTCATCCACATCCCTCATCCTTCATTTTTCCTTCAACTGTGCACATCGCACCTGTTACCATCAGCACTGGACTTGAAGACATGCACGCGAACCAGCATATGCCAAAGTCGTCGTCCTCTAACTCTGGGAGAGGTTTCAGAACACCCTACAGCCACTGCTTATTTTTTCCCGTCTCATCGTCTAATTATCCGAGGGAACCTCCCAAATCAATCCCAATTAATTGACAAGTTACAGCTTAGATTGAGATTTTTTTTTCAGAACTGACAAAAATTTTAGCCTTTAACTTATGAAATTCCAATTTACATTGCAGTACGCCAATTTTTCCGTGAGATTTTCCACCGTCATCTATCGTGGAAAATTTATTGAATGAAACCGCTACTGCTGAAAAGGATATTCATGATTAAATTTGTACTTGCGGTTAAAAAAATGAGGAGATGATACAGAGAACGAGGGATGAATGGGAACAATGAGATCGTCTCGGTAAGTGTATGTCAGGAGTTGTAGTTGAGTTGTAGTATCGATGAGAAAAATTGAAATCAATGGATTCAATTAAGGATTTTCCAGGGGCAATACTAGGAAACAGTTGCGCAGTTTCATTCTGAAATTCTCCATACTGAAATAATAAAAAGAATTGTTTTGTCAGAGTGAGATTTTATTGACGTGTAGAATTAGCAGACGGAAACGGCAATTGATGAGATCGATTGTAATCGAACGAGTGGTTACCAGGATCTTGAACTTGAGACAGAGTACCGGACGAGTATTATTAGCCATTGATACTCAATATTATCGAAGGGGTGTAGAAAAAATGGGGGAAGAGAACAAATGATGGAGACAATAAAATTTCATCGAAAAAAACAGAATCAGCCGGATAAATGATGAATTTTTAAAATAGAAATCAATGGAGACAGATGGAGCAACAATTTACCATTTTACTGTGATAATAGTAGGAAGAAATTAAATGGGTTTCCCCTTTGTCCTGGTAATATTGTACCAATATTGTTAGTATTGATTGAAAGAATGTGATTGTTTATTCGAATGGACTTTGAATATGTGGAATTAGCAAGAGGCAGTGCCAATTGAGATCGATTGCAATCGGATGATGTCGTTACTAGGGTCTTAAACTTGAAGAGAATAGAGAAAAGGATGAGTACTATAAACTATTGATATTTTTTATTGAAAGGACAGAGAAAAATGGAGACGAATGAATGAGTGTAATGATATCACTAGACAATAAGATTTCATTGAGGAATCGATAGCAGTTGGATAAATGGCAATTATCGGATATATTTTTAAATAAGAGACATCAAGAGAGACAGATGGGGAGGAAATTAGACGAAATTAGACTGATAAGATATATAATTTTATAAGATAAATAATAGATAATAAAATTTTAAAAAAATTGCAGTTGGAAAATATTGGCTGGGTCAGAGACAATTAGCTTGTTCCCACGAGCAGTAGTTATTGAACACTGAGATGTCATTGGCAAGTGATCAATAACTCGGTGGAAAATTGCATCCGTAGTAATTGAAAAGTTTGCGCTAACGGTTGTTAACGAAAAATTAGTGACCAGTGATTTCTAACTGTTCATACAGAGATTGAAGTGACATGGAATTCTCTACTGGACTATGGCGAAATGTAGGAGAGGTTTAACAGCTGGTTGAGGGATATCGTGTTACGTTTTCTTGGTGGCTCATACTTGCTATTGCGTATATGATATGGTCGTCATACGCGAGAGAACCCACGACGTGACTTATTGCTTACAACGTCAGGATAGAGTCGTGTGTGTATGTTAAACTTGCATAAATCCTTCTGGGTTACAATCTAAAAAGTGACGGGATCAAATGAGAGAAAATGGGCCCTGCATTTCCCACGCAAATGAATTTTTAAGGTTCAAGAGGAGATCTAATCAGTGGATGATTAACAGGTCAATTATCCTCTCAATGACTCAATTTGTTGGAGGGATAAAATTCTAGGTCACGGATTTCGAGTGATAGAGCGAAGAGAATCGACAGATCAATAATTAAAAATTGAGAATAAATTAAATATTGGATTTAATATTGAATTTAATATTGGATTTAATATTGAATTAAATATTGTTCTATTATTAATTGAAAAAAAGGAAATAGAAAAAAAAAGGAGTGAATTGTCAGACTGCGGGGTAAGAGGTAAAAAATCGATGGAGGCAACAAGTGAAAAAAAGTTCCCACAGATCTGTGTCTTTCCGTGCGCAATAATAAATTGGGGTTTTGTGTTGGGGATTGGTAACATATGTGTAACGCAAGGGGCGTATCCGGTCCCCGATCTGCTCTGTGGCTCTGCGGTTCTCTCTACCGTTTCGTCAGTTTGCAATTCGCCACAAGAAGTCTCAGATGAGGAATACAAACCACTGACGATGATACTTTACCTTCTCTCGTGCATTTCCACAGGCCATAATTACCATTCATCTGGACGTTTGGCTTTGAGAACAACACTGAAAAATAAACGACCATTTTTTGGTGTGTTCAGAGTGTTGACGTTGGGGTGTCATTGATAATAAAAAAAAAATTTCTCTCACACGACAAAAGAAATTATTGAATTAATGAAATTTATACTAAAATATATTCCATTATGGATCCTTTATGCTATCCTTTAAAAATTAAATAAAAAATTTTTTTTATTATATACATATGATTATATATAAAATATATCATATATATCATATTTTATATATAATTAATATTTTTAAAAAATATTTTGATTTGATTTATGATTTTGATTTTTTTAGAAGAAAACATTGCAGTATAATTTTTATTTATATAACGATTAAATAAATTCAATCATCATTTTTTTTATCATTATTATTATTTATTTATTATTATTTATTTTATATTTTATTAGTGATAATTGGATCCTCTGAAGATGATTATTATTATTCTAGCTCACGATATCTGAACGCGCACAGAGGCGGACATTTATCTTAACTGTAAGGAGCAATTTTTGTGTAAAGAGAAATTTTTTTTCTTCCCGTGGATATAATTGGGGTCACGGTATTGTCACTGACGTGATTTCAACGCATCACGCGATGACCTCGAGACGGTCCCATCGGCGAACAAACGCATCGAGAAAAAAAATAATCATGTATTTGAAAAGGGGCTTGTATGTACTGGAAACTGGCCTCGAATGATAGTAAACCAACTCGTTCTAATTTACTTCAAGAAAAGCACCAGCTTTAATATCACGGTATTTTTTCGGAAATTTTCTATTCAATATTTCAAGAAGAAATTTAATTAGTCATTTCTACCAAAATTTCTGAATTTACTTGCAAAAATTGAACGGTAATTTATACTTCGCAGGAAATTCGCCTTCTTTATTTTTTTCTTGGTGCATCTTATAACGGTTGCAAGGTGGGTGATGTCAACCTGAAGAACCATGGCTGACCCTGAGGAAGACAACACTGACCTTTACAGCAGTGGACACCTGTCTCCCATTTATTTTCTCTTCCGAAATCATGTCGTGTGGATTGTGTAGCACGCAATCCTCCCGCATTAAAAAATAGAAAATATCTTTATGAAAAACATTTTCATGATTAACCTTAATTGCCACTGGATAAAATGAAATCAATGAAAACACGTTCAACTTTCTTGTCATTTAGCAATTTTGAATTTGAGAGCGGATACTTGAAAATTTTCAATATCCCGCGGTTAGGCATCCCTCCAGACAGTAATTTAGGTTGAAAGCACTAAATAAAAGAAAGGCTGAATTCGGAAGAGGTGAAAGAAATAGTAAAAAGAGTGAAAATTTTTTGCGGAGAAATGCATGATTTGAGTGTGGTTTGCGTGCAGGGAAGATAATCCGTGCAATCTTCCGGCTGGGAAGATTACAAGGTGTAGGTTTGGTTCGTCACGATCTAAATCAATCGGGTAAGAGGTTGTTCGCAAGGTGGCGAAGAGGTAAAATGCCCCCACAGGGTGGCTATTGCACTTTCGCTCAGAGAATTTTATTCTTCGGTTGATATTTTGCCCGGCGGGCCTTTAAATTTTACCGACGTACAACATGTTTTGGAGGACTTGCATGCGTCAAAAAAACCCCACCAGCTAAATCAATGACCTGGATTTTTAGAAAATTTGGGGAGAATTTTGTGGTGAGGTGGGGGTTGTTTAATGGGGGACGCGTGCAGTTGGTTAAGAAAAAAATTGGCCAACTTTTGGGTGAATAAAAAGAACGAGTTGGCGATTAATTTAATCGTTTTCGTTGTTGTTTGTTACGATTGTAGTGGTCGGGGCAATTGACCTGTGGATGAATGCCCAGACCCGGAGGACATTATTTCCACTCGGAACGTTTAATCTCGACATTGGGCGCAGTGTCGCGTGCAGAAATTTAAAAGCAATGTGTTTATAGGCGTGTGTAACGCTCACTT